CTGTAAACCAGGCTGTCCTCAGACTCAGAGAGCTGCCTCTCTGCCTCCCAAGTGCACCACCACAACCCAAGGGACTAGTTTATTTTTTGTTGTTTTTGTAGGTTTTAGTTTTTGTTGCTTTTGGTTTCATTTTGTTTTTGAGCCAGGTCAGCCATGGCTGCCCTGGACATCACAAGAGAACTGCCTGCAACCAACTCTCAGGTGCTGGGAGTAACATACTCAGCTCAGGTTGACTAGTTTTTTTTGAGATACAGAATCAAGATTTGTTTATTCCTCTTATGTAGCTAGTAGCATATTACAATACAGATAGTGCTCTTTCTTCTTTTTACATTTAAGAAATATCTGATTGGGTAACCTCATAGGTTTCCAGTTCTTATTTTCCAGCATTTACTACCAGAAACAATGTATAATTAACTCCCTTGTAAATCAAAGTAAGACTTCATACTTTAGGCACAAACTGGATGAGTTTTGTTATTTTTTAACTTCTTGATCTATGGCAAAGTGGTCTGAATAGGTACAACTTCTTATAAGTCCTAGGAAAAGGTTGTGAGACAAATCACAAGTAAAGAAACAAAACAGCTGTATAAGGCTGAGTGTCTAGCTTATTGGTAGACCACATGACTAGCATGTGTAAGCCCTAGCTTCATATTAGCACCACCACCCCTATCATCCACCCTCAGAAAAGAGAACAGTCTTTATTTAAAATGCCATCGCAAGAGCTAGGACTAGAACTCAGTAGAGTGTCTGCTTAACATGCATAATGCTCTGGATTTGATCCTGATCACTCATTAATCAGACATGGTGATACACCCCTATAAACATAATTCTAGCACCTGAGAAGTCAAAATAAAAGGATCAAAGATTTAAGGATAAATTCATCCTTAGTTAAAAAAAAAAATTCATCCTTAGTTACATATGGAGTTTGAGGCCAACCTGGGCTACCTGAGAACTTTCCTCCAAAAATTAAAGTTAGTGTGGTCATGAACGCCTTTATTCCCAGCACTTGGGATACAGAGGCAGGCGGATCTTTGAGTTCCAGAAAAGCCAGGGCTACATACAGACATGGTCTCAAAAAAAAAAAAATCAATAAATTACCAGGCAGTGGTGGCACATGCCTTTAATCCCAGCACTCAGGAGGTAGAAGTGGGCGGATCTCTTTGAGTTTGAGTTCAGTCTGGTCTACAAGAGCTAGTTCCAGGACAGGCTCCAAAGCTACAGAGAGACCCTGTCTCGAAAAACCAAAAAAGAAAAAAATCAATAAATGGATGAATTTAAGTTAATTTGAGGCTGGGCTGGTGATGTACACACCTTTAATTGAAGTATTTGAGAAGCTAAGACAGGCAGATCTCTATGAATTTAAAGCTAGCCTAGACGACAGTGAAAACTAGTGGTCTAGTGAATACCAGGCTAGACCCTGCCCTCCCACTTATTTATGTATTTTATTTATTGCAAATTTTTATTTTTTTAATGCTGAAGAGTTACCCAGCCAAGGGACTGGAGAGATGGTTCAGTGGTTGAGTGTGCTGGCTGCTCTTCCAGAGGACCTGGTTTGATTCCCAGCATTCACACGCCAGCTCACAACCTTCTATAACTCCAGTTCTAGGGACACCACCTTCTGGCCTCCATGAGTAGTACTAGGCACACGGTATGTCAACATACATGTGGGCAAAACATCCATACACGTGAACTAAAACAAGGTAAAATAGTTATCCAGCTGAGCATTTTATTTAGCGCCTTCCTACCCACTTGGCAAGCAGTTTTTCTAGCCCCTAAAAATGACTGAAAGATGCTATCACGGAAGCTATCATTTACTGGCACCAGTTTCATGCCAGCCTAGGCTGCTATGCTGTTCCTCCAGGATTAGAAGTCTCACTGAGATTCCAGCTAAAAGGCACCAAAACCACTATAGAACACATTTTGTTTGGATGGCTGAAGTGATTTGAGTGTGGTTTGCTTTCTAGAGGTGATTCTTCTGGATTCTGGTGAGCTGGCATGTTATTGACTGTACTCTGATGGGGCAGGATGCCTCTCTGTCACTTGATCAATTTCCTGAGTAGATTAACATTGTCTCTTTTCTCCTCTCAAAGTCATATTTGTATTGTAACATCAAAATACATTTGAATATTTCAAAGATCATGGTATTGGGGATATTTTCATTATAGTTTCTCAAAGTCCTGTCAGGAAGGTGAGTGGGATCTTGTGTGTATTCTTTTTTCTTACAGAAATCAGAAATCTGTCTAAAACGTTTTGACTCAAAAAACTAGGGGCTAATTTATTGGCATTTCTTCCAGAGAAATCTTCACCTTTGCTTTTTCTCTGAATCAGGTTGGTGGGAGGAACAGGCATGGCAGTGACAAAAAGGAGTGAATGGGGTTATTGCTTGTGGCGCATCTAACCTAGTTTTACAGCTCTGGGAAAGATGGACAGTGTGGGTTTTGAGAACCTTGACTCTTTAGGCTGGTGTAGTCTCAGAACTGAGCCACCAGTTAGTACTACGGCTTTATCACCTTTACCTCTGTCCTTAGAATTTTATAAATACAGTGAGAGGTTGGGTTTGGGGTCCCTAGGGACATACTAGCCAGCATTAGGAGGTTCGTACCTTAGTCCATGTTTCCTCCCTGTGAATTGGATTCATGCCTCTCTTGTAAGGTTGCAAATTGTAGCTGAACTAGCCACTAAAAAAACATCTCACTCCACTGCTGTTGTTGACCCTGTGTGCCAGAGACCAGTGTCTGTCCCTTTGTGGTTTTTGCCTTAGCCATAGATACCGTGCCTGCCCTAGTGTGCTGTCTAAAACTTGTGGGCCAAGGTCTAAGGACTACCATGTTTGTTCTTGACCCATCCTCACAACTGCTCACACAACACTCAGTGCAGGAAGATGGAGATGGATAAAAAACACTTGGGCCATAATGGGTTAATATTCTCTGGCTTTCTCTAAAGAATGAAACTTCAGCCGGGAGGTGGTGGCGCACGCCTTTAATCCCAGCACTCGGGAGGCAGAGGCAGGCGGATCTCTGTGAGTTCGAGGCCAGCCTGGTCTACCAGAGCTAGTTCCAGGACAGGAACCAAAAGCTACGGAGAAACCCTGTCTCGAAAAATCAAAAAAAAAAAAAAAAAAAAAAAAGAATGAAACTTCAGCTATTGTAACCCAGTTTCTGTATCCTTAGCCTGGCCCACTTTTTCTGAAGGTTATTCTATGAGATCCTATGAGTATTACAGGGGAAAACATATGTAAATTAACTGATAACTTGTCAGGTACAACTGATACCTGTAATGTGTTCTCATTTGTGCTTGAAATCAGAACAGCATTTGGAGAAGCCGCAGAAAGCCTACTACAGGAGGCTTGTTTATGTTCCATGACAGGCCAGATACTCCAGAACTAACAGCTGGTTTTGTCTTTGTTTTTTTACTTTAATGTTTTTTACATGATGACAGTTGAAATTAACAATTATAGGAGTTCATTTTGCCTTTCAAGAAGAATGTCATTTAAAGCCTCCATTTGTGACTGCTCCCCTCATCCCAGACCATATGTGTGTGTGGTTTAGCAGCAATGGATACCATCATTAAGGAATAAATTTAGGCCCACTGGCTACAAATATCTAAAGAACAGCAAACTTTATATGTTGCATTTGGGGTAGAGTTCTCAGTTGATAAGTAGTTCAATCCCCAGCACCACCTGTAATCCCAGCATTTGGGAGGTAGAGGCAAAAGAATCAAAGTTCATGCCCTCTTGTCTTTTTTTTTCTTAATGTAGGTGGGTGTTTTACCTGCTTATATGTCTGTGCAGCATGTATATGTATGTGTAGTGCCTATAGAGTCCAGATCCCCTCGGTGCTGGGAATTGAATCAGGGTCCTCTAGAAGAACATTCAGTGCTCTTAACCACTGAGCCATCTCTCCAAACTGAGTCCTTGCTTGTAGTATGGAGGTGCAGTGGGCTGTGTCCCGCTTCCCGGCTAGCTTAACCCCCAAAATAACCACACAGAAATTGTATTAATTAGATTACTGCCTGGCCCATTATATCTAGCCTCTTCTTGGCTAATTCTTACATCTTGATTCAACCCATTTCTAATAATCTGTTTAGAACCACGAGGCCATGCTTACCGGGAAAGATTCAGCATGTCTGACCTGGCAGCCTCATGGCGGGAGGCTCTCCCTGCCTTCTTCCTCCCAGAATTCTGTTCTGTCTACTCCACCCACCTAAGGGCTGCCCTATCAAAAGGCCAAGGCAACTTCTTTATTCAACCAATGAAAGTAACACACAAACAGAAGAACCTCCTACACCACTTGCTTTTTATATGTATGTATGGATGTATGGATGGATGGATGGATGGATGGATAGATGGATGAATTGATAGATAGAAATAAGTAGATATATAGTCCTGGTTACATTTCCTGACTCTAGGCTATAGGTTGATGGACAGATTTTGTAAATCTGGTTCAAATAGTTGACTAAGTCACATGTGGTGATTCATACCTGTAATTTTTTCATTCAAGAGGCAGAGGTAGGAGGAGTGCCAGGTCTACATGGTGAGTTCCAGGACAGAGAGCTATGTATTGAGAGCATGTCTCAAAAAAAGACCAAACAAAAATAGTTGATTAGCAGCAGTTGTTTCTTTGTGTGAAAGTGTTGCCATGGTTTATAATGCTTGCAGGTATCCGTGGCCATCATGCTGCGCACTGTAAACAACAGACTATCTACAGGCTTCTCCTGCAGTTGCAGGTGTGTGTGGTTGGGTATGGAAAGCTAGCAAATCAGAGTGAAAATAAAATGTATGACCATGATTTCACTTAAGGAAAGTTCTGACCTATTGTGTTTCTGTTTGTTTGAAGGAAATGTGCTTTAGGCTTAAGAGTTTGAGATGAATGGTGGTGAGGTTTATTCTTTTCCAATTTCCAGCCAACACAAATGGATGTTCAAATCCTACCCTGGTGAGATCTCAGGACTGTGTTGGCATATGCAGTATGGATAAAACTCTTTCTGTGTTTATTTTCTACTAGTGCCTGGATCAAAGTAGAACAGCTAAAGCCTTATCATGCTCATAAAGAGGAAATGATAAAGATCAACAAGGGTAAACGGTTCCAGCAAGCTGTGGATGCTGTTGAAGAGTTCCTCAGGAGAGCCAAGGGGAAAGACCAGGTGAGAGAGACTTTAGCAGTTCCCCGCAACAGCAGCCCGTGGTTCAACGTGGTTACCAGCAGATGAAATGTGTCACAGACACTCTCCATTCCCATGAGATGCCCAGCAGGGGAACAACTGTGGTCCCAGAACTCTATACCCATGGCTCACTTTTCTTAGGCTCACTTTTTTCTGAAGCATGTTGCTTTTAGAAGGAGTAGCTCAACTCTAGAGTACCTTAGAGAGCTTAGGAACATAACCACCTCCTAGCGTTAGGGCTGTACAAGTGACATGATTTTCTTTTTTTAAACTATTTTTCCAGTGCAAATGGGTGAGCAAGAATCCTGTTTGTCAGGGTGGCTATGAGGACAATTCACAGAAGTACCTAGAGCACTGCATGGCCAGTGTTGGTAGTGGCTGTTGTAGTGGTCATCATTATTGTTGTTGAACTTTCAGACATCATCTCACACTTCTGCTGATGACAAGAATCGGCGTAATTCCAGTGAGGAGAGAAGTAGGCCAAACTCAGGTGATGAGAAACGCAAGCTTAGCCTGTCTGAAGGGAAGGTGAAGAAGAACTTGGGAGAAGGAAAGAAGAGGGTGACTTCAGGTTCTTCAGAGAGAGGCTCCAAATGCCTTAAAAGAGCCCAAGAGCAAAGTCCCCGGAAGCGGGGTCGGCCCCCAAAGGATGAGAAGGTTTGTCTTATCACTGTAGCTTCACAAACTAGTGCTTTTTTGTGTGTGTGTAAAGTAGAGCCATGCTCATCTAGTGGGTGTGGAGTTCCTGCCATGTTTTATAAATGATGCGAAAACAAAATGCACAGACATAGAAGGCAGGAGAGCAGTCTCTTGAGTTGCTTAGGTACACTGGCCTGGCCAGGGGTAAGGCTAGCAAGAAGGGAGGGAAAACTTTGTAGAGGTGAGCATGTATCCCATGTGAGGCATGAATCTGGCATGAGTATCCTGGCAGGTATAGGGACAGATAAGTTGACACTGGATCACAGAGGACCATACAGTAAATTCATGATAATGGAAGCTCCCAGAAACCTATTTAAGCTGGTTGTTTGGATGGCATTGTGTGCCAAACTGGGCCTTAGTAACTGTGAGGACAGAAAAGACAGCTTGAAGCTGAATAAAAGGCCATAGTCACCCATGAGAAGGGATAGCATTTCCTGAAAGGAATGGGGCAGAGGCATGTCAGAGGAAGCCTTTCTATGATTTGGCAGCTGGTTATGTGGAGGGGTGTAGATGAAAAGGAAAGAGAAGGTAGTGCCAAACTTCACCCCTAGAACATAGTGCCCTTGCTTTCTTACATAATCAGGAGTCAAGAATTGGAGCTGAAGAAGAGAGAGAACTGGTTCTTTTTGCTTTTGGAGGGATTTGGGGTTTGCTGTTGTCATTGTTTATAAAACTAAAGGTAGAACCTGGAGCTTCATGCATGGTCAGCAAACACTCCACCACTAAGCTACATGCTAGCCTTTGGTTCTTTATTTTACTATGATGCATTTGAAGCATGACCCAAACAGTATTAGAGCTGTAGACTTGGGAAGCCATCTTGAATGAAGAATAGCCTTATTCATGAGACTAGACGAGCTTGTCTTGGGAATATGAAGAGGGGTGCTCAAGAAGACAGGCTGTACTGCAAAGAGAATATTTGGTCAGGGCTAGTAAAGTTGGACGTGTGGCCAGATGAAACCAGGAAGAAACGGCGTATCTCTCACCTGTGTCTAACAAGTCTTGAATTTCAGGAAGTGAGTGGCCTGTGAATTGTGAGATGAACACTGATAATGCAGCCAGGATAAAAGTAGCAGAAGCCAGATGGCTGGCGAGTACTGGGTTATAAAACCTTGATGAAACACTACACACCAGAGCAAGACTGGCAGGTTCAGTCAGACACCAGTGAAACCACACAGAGCAACTAAAACTGCCTTGAGTTTGCAAAAAGAACGGGAGAGCTCACTGCATCTTGGAGCTGGCCCAGTTATACCCATTCACAGGGTGCCTGGCCAACTGCTGCCAGGTTGTCTGATCTTCATGAGAGGGGCCAGAAATGCAGAATTGTATACAAAACACCCTAAATTTAAATGTTTGAATCTGATTCACATTTTAAAAACACTCAGCCTGGTCTGCCTCTGTGGGCCACTGATTGGAGAAGGTCCTTCACACTGTCCTGAGGCTAAGAGAGCAAGAGTTCCCCTATGATCATGATCAGGAGGTAGGGAGCTTCAGAGAACTGTAAGCCTCAGTGAGTAGGGGACTTTGCAAGGAATGTGACCTGATATGAGCTCCCAAAAGACATAATGTAGTTTTCAGTCAAGAAGAAATTGGAGCCGGGCGGTGGTGGCGCACGCCTTTAATCCCAGCACTCGGGAGGCAGAGGCAGGCGGATCTCTGTGAGTTCGAGGCCAGCCTGGTCTACAAGAGCTAGTTCCAGGACAGGCTCCAAAGCTACAGAGAAACCCTGTCTCGAAAAACTAAAAAAAAAAAAAAGAAGAAATTGGAGTTGTGACGTTTTATACTGTCTTCCAAATTACACTGTCTTTAGGCAAGCTCCTCATAGATTCCTGAATTAACCCTGGACAGAAACAGCTTCCTGTTAGATAAAGGGAAGTACAATGGAGAGGTTAGAACATGGGCCCTGGGTTTGGATTATATATAACCTGTGGCTTCCTGCAACTGATTGACTGTGGCCAAGTTCCTTTCCTTCAGTTTCCTAGTCTGATGGAGCCTCATAGGTTTGTGAGAATTGAGTGAGTCCATGGGTGATGCTGAAGACCATACCTGAATAGTGATGGGTATCAGATCCAAATCCTGAGTGAGCTATTTCCATGATAGGAGCCAGGTGTGCAGAGAACTGAGGTGGAAAGTTACTTCAGTCTAGCCCTCCCAGGATCCTACGCAAGCTTTCTTCTATCTCAAGGTTTTCTTCAAGCTGATAATGAGAAGCAGTTCACCCTTAACAACCAAGTAACTCATTTGGGTGGTAGTAACTTTTAACCAGGTTTCAGTCTAGGAAAGCAACCTGCTCTTGACCCCTAGCTGGGTCCTTTCTGGGTGTTTTGGGGTTGGGCCTATGCTCAGTGCTTCAGAGAGTGTGCCCCGGTACTGGAGTGACAGTACATCTGACCTCATCTGTCCTGTAGCTTAGAGTGCAGGTGTGTTAGCATAGCAGTTGTCATTTGGCTGGCAGCAGTAAAGCACAGGCTCCTAGCTGCAGAGGCCCAGGTGAGTGCCATTCTGTTGTGGTACAATCTTCTGTCCCCTAAGGATAACTGAAAAGGCCAACCTTGATCTCAGAGGTGTAAAATGCTTACCTTCAGACAAGACTGAATTTATGTCTAGACATCTGTTCAGATCTTGCCCGGAGGCTTGCTCCCATGTCTTGACTGGACTTTCCTTTCCTGCTTCTAAGCTAAAAACTAGAGCTTCATTCAGCCCAAGTTCAGTCAGTCCCATGGTAGTCCTGAAATTTCACACTAACACCAAGAAGAGTGAATCAGGGATAGAGGTCTTTACTTTATGTTTGAACCAAGAGCTGTAAACCCCTTGTTCTCATTCTGGTGTCCCTGGAGCTCCACTGTCCGAACTTCATTGAATACAATCCTTTTTAAAAGACTTATTTAGAGGGCACCAGACCTCATTACAGATGGTTATGAGCCACTATGTGGTTGCTGGGAATTGAACTCAGAACCTCTGGAAGAGTAGCCAGTGCTCTTAACCTCTGAGCCATCTCCCTAGCCCCTTGTTGAATACAATTTAAAATTCACCAACCTTGTGTCAGGTGCCACGTAGTAACGTGATTGGAGGCTTCAATGTTAGCTCAAAAAGATTGTATCTGCCACTGCAGAACTATTTTGGGGCAGTGCTACAACATTCTGTCTATTACACAGATGTTTATTGGGCAACTTCATCGCAGACCACATGTCTAGGGAAAAACTTGAGAACTGTACAGACATGTCCCCTCTCAGGAAGAGATCCCCACCCCCACTAAGGCATATTTAGGTTCATCTACATGCCAGCATGATTCCCAATGTGGAGTGGAAGGAGAACACACTTGTAAGAGCACCAACCCTAGGTCCAAATTACTGGAATTTGGATTGTTTTGTGTGGGTTTTTATTTGTTCATTTGGTTAGTTGGTTGATTTTTTTTTTCTGGTTGGTTTTTTGTTTGTTTGTTTGTTTGTTTGTTTTGGGTTTATGTGTATATTTTTAGATAGTTCTCACTATGTAGCTTTGGCTGGCCTGGACCTATGCAAACTCAGGGGGCTGGGATGAAAGGTGTGTGCCACCATTCCCATGAGTTTGAATTTTTAATCTGTCTCACAGTTAACCAAGTTGATCTCCTTGCTTTTCTTTTCTGTAAAAGGAAGGCAGTATTAGTTCTCCATTGTGAGTAATGAGGTTACATAAGACCATATATGTAAATAAGTACTAAGATGATTTCTGAAACCTTTGCTGTCATTGTAATCAACATCACCTTCAAATGGGAGAAGGTACTGAGAGGTCAAATAAAGCTACTTTGATGAAGGAACATTTCCACGGTGTCCTAAAGTGAGCCTGTGACAGGTGGAAGACCATCCCCAGTAATACAGAAGTTCTGAGGTAGGTTTGAGTTTGGGGTGTTTGGGATGGGGGAATGGAGTGCTGGTAAACTAGAGAATGGCAAGGGAAGAGAAAAAATTAGTGGTGGTACACACCTTCAGTCCCAGCATTCGAAAGGCAGAGGCAGGTGTTATCTCTGTGAGTTTGAGGCCAACCTGGTCTACAGAGCAAGTTCCAGGACAGCCAGAGCTATTAAGCAAAGAAACTCTGTCTCAGGAGGGTAGGGGAGGAAGTGAAGAAGAGTGTGGAGTAAGGACTATATAGCCCTTCCGGAAGACTGCTCTAGCAAACTTTAGCTTCCTTGTGAGACATGGGAAACTGGCTTCAGGCAAATAGGGGGTCTGCCATGAGCTGGTGTGTGAAATCTAGTCTGCATGGAGCCAGAGAGGGAGCAAGAGATACATTGTTCAGCTGCCTGCTTACAGGGATGGTAGCATGTTGGCCAGTTTGGTATGAGTGACAAGGGAGAAGGGTAGCTTTATAGTGACAAAGCAGTGATCACTGCCCTTTGAGTCAGTAGAGGAGGAGACCTGGCACCAGGAAGGTGGAATGTTTGTGGGTATGTGGGCATTCACCCTGGTATCCCACCAAGGTGGGTGAGATATGATTTATTATCACAGGGGTAGGAGGGGCCAGACCAGCTTAGTCCAAGGGAGTGGGGCCCACGCCATGCAGATGAAGAGCTACTCATTTGAAACCGTGCCAAAATGTATTCTGGCATTCATCATCACTTTCAGATCTGGGCGGGTCTAGATTCTCTCTGTAGCTACTGTTTTCTTAGTGATTATTACTTGCCATAAAGAATTTCCCTGTGACCTGCTGACAGCTTCCTAATTAACCTTCATTCTTGTGACATAAGTGTATGTGTGGGTTTCATTACTACAGGACTGGAGAAGGCTCACTTTGTGTTGGCAGGAAGCAGTTGCCCTTCTCCCACTTAGAACCGTGCCCAGGGGATTGGCTTGAACTTACACTTAGACCATGGCACTTGCCAGGAGCTTAGTTTAGGGCTGAGTGTGGCCAAAAGGGAAGCAAAGTATCCTGATGGTTTCTCTGCTTTTCTCCTCTAGGACCTCACCATCCCTGAGTCGAGCACTGTGAAAGGGATGATGGCGGGACCAATGGCCGCATTTAAATGGCAGCCAACTGCGAGCGAGGTAAAGAATTTTCCTTCTGTTAGCACTGGGCCACAATGTCACAACAAGCACACAGCAGATTTTCTGGCTTTGCTATGTCATCCTCTTTCCATTTCCACCCTTTCTGTTGTTTGGTTTTGTTTTATTGAATAGCAATACAGAGGTCTAGGAGAAAAACATTGCTCAGTGTTTTTGGTTTAATGTTCTAGGCAGTTTGCCTATTTGACATCATATATAGGATTATAGACCCACTATCATTCTTACTGTTTGGAGTAGAATTGTTTTTATATTTATTGTAAATATCCTCTCTTCCATTAATAATATTTTTTCTCTGTTTTGTTGTACATGCGCCCCCCCCCCACACCACCTTAGAGGAAGTAGTTTTTTTGGGGGGAGGGTTGGGGAGAGGTTACTTTGTCTTATGACAGGGTCTCCCTAGGTAGTCCCTGCCTACGTCAAACTAGATATCCTTCCACCTCAGATACCGATGTTACATACTAGGATTATAGAAATGTAGCTGCTAAGCCCAATTAATGCAGTTCTTAATGTTTTGTAGCCTGGGGTCACACTGGCTTCCCTGTGCCTGCACCTGGTAGTAGGCATAGTTGTGAACAGTTGTGGAGTTCTATGGTCTTGGCCACTGTAATCAGAATTGATTCCAGGAAGCCAAGCCCTCCCTACAAGGGTCTGGCCTCAGACCCAAGGAGACCAGAGTTCTGAAACGAAGAGAGTCATGGAACTGTTGTGGCTTATGCAGCCAGACCAGCTGCATGCCTGGTGAATATTCAGTACTAAAATGCAGGAGGGCTTTATATATTTCCACAGAGTTACTAGAGTGATTGGTCTTAAACTGCAGAAGCATCTGTCTTTTTTGCACTCAAATCCATTTTTCCTTAACTAGAATGGCAGTTATGCTAACTCTGGCTTATGACAGACCAGAATTAGGCCTGATGGCACAGGCTTGCAATCCTAGCAGAGGCTGAAGCAAGACGGTCACAGGGTCATGGTCTGTCTGAGTAACCAAGTGAGCTGAAGGCCCAGCCTGAGTAACATGAATCCATTTTAGCTTAAAAAGTAAAAAGAAACCAGGTGGTAGTAGCACCCACCTTTAATCCTAGGACTCAGGAGGCAGAGGTACATAGATCTCTGTGAGTTCGAACTCAGCCTGGTCTACAAAGCAAGTTCCAGGACAGCCAGAGCTATAACACAGAGAAACCCTGTCTCGGGAAAAAAAAAAAAAAAAAAAAGATGAAAGAGACAAAGAGTCAAAGACAGGTGAATCTATGTATTTGAGGCCAGAGCTATAAAGTGAGTGTCTTAACCAAAAAAAAAAAAAAAAAAAAATGTGGAAAGAGGGCTTAGAGGTAGAGCACCTACCTAGCTTTGGCAAGGTCCTCTAGATTCAATCCCTAGTACAGAAAATAAAAAAACACTGCCAGAGTTGGGGATAGCACATGCCTTTAATCCAAATAAAGAGACAGAGGCAGGTATATCCCTGTATGTTTGAGGCCAGTGTAGTCTACAGAGCAAGTTCCAGGACAGCCAGGGCTACTCAGAGAAACCCTGTCTCAAAAAATAGAAGTTTCCCAACAGCTTTGAAGGAAATTTTGTTGAAGAAACCTTGCAGCAGGAGGGTGTCCCTCATCTTGGCAAGAGGAAGTGACTTTGGTAGAGGGTAGCTCATTTGATTTCCTTGTTTTCTGATTTCAGCCAGTCAAAGATGCCGATCCTCATTTCCATCATTTTCTGCTGAGCCAAACAGAGAAGGTGAGTGCTCACTTGGGGCGAACCTGTTTATGAGTGAATGCTGTAGCAACAAGCTAAGTGACAGTGTGGGCCCATGAGGGAATCACATGCCAGTGAAATTAAAACTGAGAACAGTTTTTAGAACTCAGCCACTTGTACTGCTGAGATATCAGCTGTTGCCTTCAGAGTCTAAGGCGGAAGGAGCTAGACATGAAGGCTGTCTCCATGAGGTTGCCCATGCTTCCTGGGTCCACATCCTGTGGTTCTGTGGTCAGGATAGCTTCCCAGCCCTGTGGCTATTGCAGGAAGCTTAGTAAAGTTTGTGAGACGGGGTTGGGCCAAACTTTGCAGGGATCCTATAGCAACAAGTGACTTTGGAGGTGGGCAGATTTGATTTCCAGCCCAGCTTTTACTGACCAGTTCCATAAGAAGATACATAAGTTGACACCTAATACCCAGAGTTAGACAAAGACCTGCAAAGAGCTATGTGGAGTGTTGAAGGGTAACGAATGTTTCCCTCTAGATTTCTTAAAATTATACAACAAAGAAATATCTTGTGTTATTGTCTCACTTTAGGTATTAACCATTTAGGGGAATTACCATGTAGACCTGTTGCACTGCACTTAATAAGCTGGCTTTTTCCTTCCTCTTTATTAGCCAGCTGTCTGTTACCAGGCAATCACAAAGAAGTTGAAAATATGTGAAGAGGTATGTAAGCTCCCTGCCTTTCAATTTTTATCTCACCTGTAGTCTCGCTGTGGTCAGTCTGCTAGATGATCATTTGTACTTCCTATCCCTAGGAAACTGGTTCCACCTCCATCCAGGCAGCAGACAGCACAGCGGTGAATGGCAGCATCACACCTACAGACAAAAAGTAAGACCTTGGATGATGAGGCCTCCTGGAGACTCCGGATTCTGTTCAGCTGGGGAAGCGGCACCAAGGGAACCCTGAAGGGCATGTCCAAGCCTGATAATAATTTGACAACAGTTTTATTTATCAGAGGAAGTTGTCATTCCTACCCCCACCTCCCATGGGGTCCTTCATTGAGACTAGACTCAGGTCTTGGCTCCCTAATTGTCAGTGAGTCTGAACAACTACTTTAGAAGATCTCTGAACCTCTCAAAAGATGGCTTGTAAAGCACTGCCTCAGGCCCCCATCCTGGATAGGGCTTCTCAGCTGATAGTCTGTCTAGGGTGCAGCCCAAGAATTCACTTCTTTGCAAGTAGCAAAACTAACTGCTCTTGCTGCTGCTGCAAGTCTGGAGCCACTCTTGGCTCAGTATATACATTTACCTTGCATGATGGGAGCTCTAAGATTAGCCCTGGCGAGAGGCAAGCAGGTTTTTGGAATAAAGCCCTTTGTATTAACTTACCCATTTCTCCCTCTGTCACCTCCCTGTCCTTCCCATGCACCCTTATCTGCTTTCCACCTTGCCTACATGATGGGCCCCAAACCTTCCGGAGACTTGTCTTTGCAGCTTCACTGCTACTTCAGCTGAGCCGGTTGAGCCTGCAGTCATTTGATGGAAAGGGTTTCATTACTAAGGAAGTGTGTTTTGAGCAATGTAACAAGTATGAATTCTCATTTGTACTTTCCACAGAGTTCTCTCACAGAGTAAACTCAGTATAACTTTTTAACAGTTCAAACTCTTGAAACCCTAGGTTATATAGATTCTTCTTGAACTCCCTCTCTGCAGTGTGCAGAAGATAGGAGCTTGTTGGAAACTGATCAAAGGTTGGGGGAGATAGAGCCCAGAGGTGGTGGTGCACACCTGCGATCCCAGCACTTGGGAGGCTGGGACAGAAAAGGATCAGGAGTTCTAGGCCAACGTGGACTGCTTAGCACAACCATGTCTCAAAACAGAAAGGTGAGGGCCAGGATAGAAGGTAGGTATCCTTTAGTAAGGATTGTATTGGTTTTAAAAATAAGACCAGCACAGGACTAATGACTTGAATCATATTCTCACCCAAGACCTTGACTCCCTCTCAAGGCAACTCTTTTGTTTTGTTTTTCAGTTTTTCAAGACATGATTTCTCTGTGGCCCTAGCTGTCCTAAAACTTACTCTGTAGACCAGGCTGGCCTCAAACTCACAAAGACCCGCCTGCTTCTGCCTCCTGAGTGCTGGGATTAAAGGCGTGCAATGCCAACACCACCTGGCAAAACATCTCTTTCTTTATATATTGAGTTTGAAGTCAGTCACCAAAGCAACTGATCCATGTTAACCCACACTGACATAGCAACTGTTGGACTATTACTTGTCATGTTGGAAATACAGATACTTTGTTCATATCTGTTGAGTTTCCTAAGACACAAAAGGAAAGAAAATGACTGACTTGAAAGGCTTTGTGGGGGGAAATTGTACTACTACATTAGAGAGTTATGAATGTCAAAAGTCTTGTCATAAAACCTAGTGGTCAAAGAACCCTTTGTTGAAGAAGGTGGTGGCTTTGATTAACATGATGTTGTGTGTGCTGGGACAGAGAGTGTTGAATACTAGGTATTCCTGCCAGAATAAGGAAAGCCTCCAATTAAAGGAGTCATTTTCCAATGGTGCTTGCAGGTGAGATTCCAGAAAAACCAAAAGTATGGAGAGGCTGCACAGAGCCTTTGTGAGGAATTTGCAGAAAATGTTGAGAACTGAGAGAAAACCCAAATAGAAAAGAAGAAAATAGTGAAATTTCTGAAAGGAAGGCATTTAACTATTATACCATGCAAGAAGAAATGAAGGTATATAAAAACCAGCTGGGTATAGTGGTTCACTCTGGAGTCCAGCACTCAGGAGGCTGACACAGGAACATTGCTCTCTAATCTAAGTGGTAAGGAGACAGGCAGGTAGATCACTGGAGCTCACTGGCCAGCCAGCTTCACCTGCTTAGCAAGTTTCAGGCCTGTGAGAATCTTGTCTCCCAAAAAGGTTATTTGTGTCTGACAATGATAATCAAGGTTATCTTTTGACCTACACATACTCACAAAGTATAAGAACCAGAAAAGACATTTATGCAAGATTAAGATCTCTGTACAAGTACATAAAGATAGCAGTAGTAGCTGTCTTTATGTATTTGTGCATATAGTAGTCCCATCAATTTCTCCAGTGGCAGGAAGTTAGACTAAGTAGCAGAAGTTAAAGGTAGGCAAAATTTACCATTTGCACTTCAGTCACTGAGAGTTGTGATGGATTGAGAATAAGGTGTTGGAAACTAAGCTTTGGAGGATGTAGGGTGAGAACCTGGAAGAACAGGTGTCAGGGAGAAGCAGTGCATACTACTACTATTGCCTCCTGCGTTGTGGAGTCGCTTGGCTATCAACACTTGTCTCTGTAGTTTATGGATTTTGGGCATACTATATAGTGGTCTGAAAGCCTAGTGCACAGAGTTGCTGATCAGGAAGCCATTCAGGAGCTGAAGATAGCTCTGTGCTTTGTCACTGGAGTGGAATTAGAAACTCAGATGCTCTATCAAAAGCAAGAGGGCCCACAATTGGAAGACTAGCCATGAGGTATGGAAGTCATGCTTTGGTATCTGGTGGTCAAAGATTTAGACATGGCCATATGCATTTAGGGACCCTTACTGACCATCCAGAAGAAGAGGTACAGTGCTGGACCAAGGCTGTAAAGCATTGCCTAACATGAAACTCCCCTGGGTTTGATGCCCAGTGTCATAAAAGAAAAAAGTACATTATTACTTGTGCTGCAAGATGGACGTGCCTTTGAACCAACCAGTCTTTGTCTCTTTCAGGATAGGATTTTTGGGCCTTGGCTTAATGGGAAGTGGCATCGTCTCCAATTTGCTAAAAATGGGTCATACAGTGACTGTCTGGAACCGGACTGCAGAGAAAGTAAGTATTAAGGGTGAGGTTTGTCTCTTGGAAAGTAGAGTAACTGGGGGTAGTTACTCGGTGTTTCCATTCAGTAGTGTTCTGTACACAGGAAAATGAGCTAAGCTTAGTCCAGACAGAAGGATATATGTTATTATAAAAATTTAAATATGTAAAACTACTCAAGATATGCCACACATGATGGCCCGTGACTGTAATTTCAGCACTGAGGAGATTGAGGAATGAGATTGCCTTGCATTCTAGGCTAGCCTAGGTTATATAGGAAGCCCCAGACTACAGTGTGACCTTTTCTCAAAAATACAAAGAAGCCTAGCATGGTAGTGCTCTCCCTTAATTGTAGCACTCAAGAGACAGAAGCAGGGGGCTGGAGAGATGGCTCAGAGGTTAAGAGCATTGCTTGCTCTTCCAAAGGTCCTGAGTTCAATTCCCAGCAACCACATGGTGGCTCACAACCATCTGTAATGGGGTCTGGTGCCCTCTTCTGGGCTGCAGGCATACACACAGAATATTGTATACATAATAAATAAATAAATATTTTAAAAAAAAAAGAGAGACAGAAGCAGGCAGATCTCTATGAATTCAAGGCCATCTTGGTCTACAGAGAAAGTTATGAGAAACCTTGCCTCAAAAAAAAAAAAAAAAAAGGGCTGGAAAGATGACTCAAGAGTTGAAAGTGTGTGTACTGTATACTCCTATTCCAGAGGTCTAAAGTTCAGTCCCTAGCATATACATCAGGTAGCTTACAACCACCTATAACTCCAGCTCCAGCAAATTCCATATCCTCTTCTGATTAATGGACACCTGTGCTCATGTGTCCATACACACACACACACACACACACACACACACACACATAAAAAATAGTCTTTTTAAAAAGAAAATACAAATAACAATAGCAGCAGAAATACCATTGCTATAAAATGAAGAATACCCTATTGTGTGGAGTATATAGGCAGACTAGCTTCATCCTTTATAACCACCATACTGTATCTATGATGCAGCCCATTCTGAGCAGGTTGAGCAGCAAGGCATGCTTCAGGAAATGAGAGCACTGTTCTTATATGGACCGATCACTAAAGGAGACATTGGAGTTAAATGATGACAAAATATTAATAAAAATGATAATTAACAAAAATGTCACACACACACAAAAACAGACAAACCAGGCAGTAGTGGCTCATGCCTTTAATCCCAGCACTTGGGAGGTAGAGGCAGCTGGATCTCTGTGAGTTCGTGGCCAGTCTGGTCTACAGAGTGACTTCTAGGACAGCCAAAGCAGTTACACAGAGAAACCCTGTCTCAAAAAAAAGCATGTCTTCAGGTCTGGGTTTGGTAGTATGTGCCTTTGGTCCCAACAGAGGCAAAAGATTTTGTTTCAAGGCCAATGTGACCTACAGTGTAAGTTCCAAGCCAGCCAGTGCTACATTATAAGACTCTGTCTCAAAACAAAATATTTTCGGGACTAGTCTGTAGGTCAGTGCTAGAGCAAGGCCCTGGTTCTCTTCCTCAGTACCTCCACTCCCAAAATTAGTTTGGACTGGATCAGGTGCCTTTCCAGAACAGAAAAATGGGGCTGGAGAGATAGATGGCTTAGCGGTTAAGAGCACTGACTATTCTACCAGAGGTCCTGCGTTCAATTCCCAGCAACAACATGGTGGCTCACAACCATCTCCAATAAGATCTGTTGCCAACTTCTGGCCTGCAGGGACACATGCAGACAGAACATTGTATACATAATAAATAAATCTTAAAAAAAAAAAGAACAGAAAAATGATTGAGTTTTGTGGGGAGCCTGGGACAGTGGGCTCCAAAGGTCATGCTTTATTGTTAGGCCACAGGTGTTGAGCACTTGGTAGATTCTGTGAGGTAAGATCCTAAAGCTCCACTGCAGTAGTGACTCCAGCATTCTCCTCAGAACTGCAGTTGCTGCAAGTGAGGGAAAGCAGAGTGTCTGGGCACGTGTGGTACTGGGACATTTCCCTTTGAAAGAGGTGCCTCTGGCTGCCGTTTTTCTTTTTTTTTCTTTATTTATTTATTATATATACAGTGTTCTGCTTGCAGGTATGCCTGCACTACAGAAGAGGGCACCAGATCTCATTACAGATGGTTGTGAGCCACCATGTGGTTGCTGGGAATTGAACTCAGGACCTCTGGAAGAGCAGCCAGTGCTCTTAACCTCTGAGCCATCTCTCCAGCCCTGCCGTTTTTCTTGATTGGAAAACATAGACAAGAGAGTGAAACATCTAAGAATTAAGTCAGGCAGACCCAAATTCAAATCACAGATATGCTGTGTACCTTACAAGGCAAGACACTCTGCTCATCTCTCCCTGTGTGAGTAGCAGAGCAAGAGCACCTGCTTCCTAGAGGACAGAAATGGACAGTACTCAGCTCTGAAGAACTCAACACAGGACCAGGCAGGAAATGGCTGTAAAAAGCCATTTAGTCCTCTAGTAATCCCCCTTGGAATTTCTTTTAAGTCTGTTGATAGAAATGGTCTTTTGACTGGGCATGATGATACTTGCTTTCAATCCCAGAACGTGGAAGACAGAGGCAATGTGATCTCTATGAGTTCGAAGGAGGTCAGCCTAGCCTACATACATATAACAAGTTACAGGCCAACCAAACATAGTGAGATGCTGATATACATACATCAAAAGAGGAAAGGTCTTCTAGGACTGGGGAGACGGCTCAGTAGGTGATGGTTCTTGCCATCAAGTCTAACCACCTGAGTCCTGAATTTTATCACCAGGACTCAAATTGTGAAAGTAGGGACTCCTGACCCACGTATTCACATAAATACATCACTAAGTAAATAAATATAAAAGCAAGAAAAAAGTTTGAATAGTCCTCTGGCCAGGTACAGAGGCAAGTGTCTATGGTCCCAGCTGCTCAGGAGACTAGACTTCCCAGGCCAGACTGACTGCACAGCACGGTGAGACTGTATCAGAATGACAGCAAAATAGAATGATCTACTGGTGCTTCTGAAATAAATAAGAAACATGGTCTTAGTATTCAGAAAAAAAAATAAACTGAGTGGTGGTGGCAGATGCCTTTAATCCCAGCACTTGGGAGGCAGAGGCAGGCGGATCTCTGAGTTCAAGGTCAGCCTGGACTCTATAACTAGTTCCAGGACTCCAAGAGCTAGAGAAACCCTGTCTGGGATAGGAGTAAAATTGACTTATTATGGCTTATACATAGGCAGAAGGATCATTAGTTCAAAGCCAGCCTAGGCCACCTAGCAAATTGCAAATTGAAGGCTAATCTGAACTACAGAATTAGACACTGTCCAAAAAAAATATTTATTTATTTATTTATTTATTTATTTATTTATTTTCTGAGGCAGGGTTTCTCTGTGTAGTCCTGACTGTCTAGAACTAACTGTGTAGACCAGGCTGGCCTCTAATTCACAGAGGTCTGCCTGCCTCTGTCTCCTGGCTGGTGGGATTAAAGGCATGTGTCATCACTGCCTGACCAAAAAAAAAAAAAAAAAAGATTTTTAAGAGTAAGTGGTGGCGCACGCCTTTAATCCCAGCACTAGGGAGGCAGAGGCAGGCGGATCTCTGTGAGTTTGAGGCCATCTACAAGAGCTAGTTCCAGGACAGGAACCAAAAGCTACGGAGAAACCCTGTCTCGAAAAATTCAAAAAAAAAAAAAGAGTAAGTGGTGGGCTAGAAAAATGGTTCAGCAGTTAAAAATGCTTGCGGAGGAACCAGGGTTCACATCTCAGTGCTGTATGGTTCCTCATAACCGTCTATAACTCTAGTTCAAGGGATCGGACATCCTCTTCTGGCCTTTGAGACCACCAGGTGCACATATGGTGTATATACATATATTCAGGTCAACATTGATTTGTGTAAAATATATAGTCTCTAAATAAAAGGGGTGGAGCAGTGATTCTCCTGTTACTGCCATGCCCATTGTTCTTTGCAGTAAATATACAAAGTATACCTGTTTTCTCTCTAAAATATAATTGACTTGGGAAGATGGTTAGTCTTACTAAATAGATTGCTGTTCACTGAGGTTCTAAGGTCAAACCCCTCATATCCACATAAAAACTGAGCATTTGCAGTAAATTTTTAATTAACATTGAGGCCAGTTTAGGAAGACACTAGATGTTGAGCTCTGGCCTCCATGTTAATGTACACATGAGCCCACACATATGTGCACCTGTAAACATAAGCACATACAAATAATTAAAAATCAAAATTCAAAAGATGGGGCACTCTGTGAGTGCTCCTTAGCCTGGAAACAAAACCTAAAGCTTCATTCCCCGTAGACTAGACAGCACTAGCCTCCAGAAACGCTGCTCATTACAAGGTAGGGAGGAACAACAAAGACTGATCAGAGGAAATTTGCAAAACCCATTTATAAACAATCAAAATTCTCTAAAGAAATAGATAAACATGGGGGCTGGAGAGATGGCTCAGAGGTTAAGAGCAGTGGCTGCTCTTCCAGAGGTCCTGAATTTGATTCCCAGCAACCTAATGGCTCACAACCAATCTGTAATCTGGTGCCCTTTTCTGATGTGTGTGAGGACAGAGCACTCACATACATAAAATACATGAATAAATAAATCTTTAAAAAAAAAGATAAGTAGTGTTTTTGTTGTTGTTGATATTGTTGCTTTTTAAGTTTTTGTTTGTTTTTGCTTTTTGTTTTTCGTTTTCTTTTGTTTGTTTTTGCTTTTTGTTTTTCATTTTCTTTTGTTTGTTTTTGTTTTTTTTGGGGGGGGTTGGTTTTTCGAGACAGGGTTTCTCTGTAGTTTTGGAGCCTGTCCTGGAACTAGCTCTTGTAGACCAGGCTGGTCTCGAACTCACAGAGATCTGCCTGCCTCTGCCTCCCAAGTGCTAGGATTAAAGGCGTGCGCCACCACCGCCCGGCTTCATACAGGATTTCTTAGTAGCTATGGAGCCAGTCCTGGAACTCGCTCTATAGACCAGGCTGGTCTTGAGCTCACAGAGATCCTCCTGCCTCTGCCTCCTGAGTGCTGAAATTAAAGGCGAGCGCCACCACCGCCCAGCTTAAATTTTTTTTGACTTTTTGAGGCACAGTCTCACTGTATAGCTCTGCCTTCGCCTGGAACTCAATGTGTGAGTTCAAGGCTGACCTTAAACTCTCAGAGATCCTCCTTCTGCCTCCCAAGTGCTAGGATTAATGGTGTGCACCACTACATCTGACCTTAAGATTTTGTTTTATTTTATATGTACTTTATATTTTATGTGTATGAATATTTTGCTTGTATGTATGTATACAGCATGCATGCACAGTGCCCTTGGAAGTCAGAAGAGTGTGTTGGAACCCCTGGAACTGGAGTTACAAAAGATTCTGAACTGCCATGTGGGTGCTGGGAATAAAATCTATGTCCTTTGAGAAAACAGCAAGTTCTTCTTAACTGCTGAGCCTTCTCTACAGTTCTAGATCATCAGTTATTGGATAATAGTTTTCCAAAGCAAAAATTAGACAATAATGACTGTCCACCAACTGAAAGTAGTTGTGGCAGAGTATGATGGTTCAGTGTATTCAGTGGTAAAAGATATGTGCTGCCTAGACTGACCACCTGCACCAATGCCCAGAACCCATGTAGTAGAAGGAGAGTCGACTCTAGCACATTGTTCTACAACCTTCACATGTGTATGTGCATGCACAGGCACACAAATAAAATTAATGCAATTTAAAAAAAAGTTTTAGGGGTCTGGGAGAGGTGACTCGGCACTTAAGGACACTGTTTAATCTTGCAAAGGATGTTTCAGTTCCAGAACCCACGTGTTGGTTTACAAAAATCCATAACTCCAGATTCAGGTTAATACTTTATTTTGTTTTGTTTGTTTGTTTGTTTTGGTTTTTTGAGACAGGGTTTCTCAGTGTAGCCCTGGTTGTTCTGGATAGATGAAGCTAGTCTTGAACTCAGAGATGCCCCTGCCTCCACCTTCCAAGTGCTAGGATTAAAGGGGTGCGCCTCCTCCCGTCCTGCTTTCTCTTTCAATTATCTTATGGGGGACTTGTACACCAAAATACCAGTGATTTGTTTTGCAGAATATTCTGGATGATTTTAATTTTAGACAAAAAGAAGTTAGATCTTCGAGAACCTTCATAAGTCTTAATCTGGCTACAGGATTTGGAACCAGCCCAAGAGAGAATGGTGGTCAGAAGAAAGGGACAACACAGCCCAGCCCTGCTCCTCTGCATGAGCTAGTGGCTCAGGTCCCTAGGCTGGGTTACCAGAGCTCTTCCAGCATAGAGGAGCTGGACATAGGCACTGTTCGTATCCTGCTCTTCAAACTGCCAGCCTTCAACAGACACTGACTTTGTGTTTCTAAAACAGCATATCATTCTAGATACCATGTCTATCCACAAAAACAATAGAGTTTTTAAAGTTTCTGTCCTTTTATACTCAAGAGGTCAGGCCTCCAGCTCCAGTGCCCTGGGGCCTCAGCCTCCTGCTTTGGGAGACCAGCCAGGGGTCCACACATCTCTGGCCTGTCCGGCATGTTTGTTGTGCATTGCATGCAGCTCACGTTAGGATCTGTGACTTTTGCAGTGTGATTTGTTCATCCAGGAGGGGGCCCGCCTAGGAAGAACCCCCGCTGAAGTCGTTTCAACTTGTGACATCACTTTTGCCTGTGTGTCGGATCCAAAAGCAGCCAAGGACGTAAGGATCCCCCTTCCCTCAGCATCTCAGGTCGTAGCCAAGAGAACTGGCTGGCCTCCTCCCCTTCTCCCCTGCACACTGAGTGAGTGTTTGCATGTGGGGGGGGACATCCCATCTGGGGGTATCTCCCATTGGGAAAGATGTTTGCAAAGATGAATACAGACTTCCTTTAATTCAAAATGAATTTCTAGAGTCCTTGAAGTCTGCTGGAACATTTGTCTGAACTTGTTCTAGATATTCTATTGAGCTGGACTGTTTGTAGCTGAGTGTGCCTTTCTTTGACCCAAGGACCAGCTCCTGTTTTAATTGTTGCTGAATTTGCATGTGTTACAAAGTCAGGAGCACTAGTGATCCTGTTAAACTGAGTGATCTAGTCCAAAGAAGCCCCATAATAAGTAATGAGTTTGTGTCTTTTAAACCATTGGAAGAGAACACAAAAATAAAGGGATATATTCTGGAATGACTTTAAACAAAAGCTCACTATGTAGCTGTCTCCAGTCTGGAACTTACTATGTAGGTAGACCAGGCTGGCCTCTACCTTGAATTACTTTTCTGTCCTATACATATTAAGTGGCTCTTTCCTTTTCATCCTTAATAGTTAATTTTTGATCAGGAAGTGAGCCCCCCAAAAACAACAGACTATGTTCTGCAGGGACTTCTGAGCACTTAACTGCAAGCCTGGGCTATTGCTCCTCATTGTGTCCCTACAGCTGGTGCTGGGCCCCAGTGGTGTGCTGCAAGGGATCCGCCCTGGGAAGTGCTATGTGGACATGTCAACGGTGGATGCGGATACAGTCACCGAGCTGGCCCAGGTAGCAGCCTTATCTAGGCTGGCTCTGGATCATCTTTTCAGTGGGAGCCCAAGACCCAGACTGACCACACCCAAGCACGGGCAGTTTGGTTACCCTAGAGCCAAAGCCAGAACGGACGTCGTGAACCTTGGGACTAGCCTCTTGACTGTCCCCCTTCAGAGCCTCAGCTGGTTGGAACTGCCATGGAAGGTCACTGCAGGCTAGTAGACAGGAGGCCCCATGCTGTCAGCCCTCCTGCAGTGAGAAGCCTCCAGACTTCCAGTGTGGCCTTTTTGGCTTAAGCAACTGTCTACAGTTGAGTCTAGCATAGTGTCCTCCTACCAATCTTCTAGGCCCACTTGTGTTCTGAGGGTGGCTGAATTCAGTGATGGGCAGGGTCCAGTGGGTAGGAATTCAGCCAAGGTATCTGTATGGCTATGTTTGCCCCTTGGTCTCTGAGAACCAGAACACTGGGAACAAGATGCAGACCCTAGCTCCGTTTTTCCTTTCTGTGACTTAGTTCTACTAAAACTAAGTAGTAGGCCTGTCTGACCTACTACAGTAGTAGTAGAATTTGGAACCTTATTGTAGATAGCCACATGCTAGCATACTCTATGATGGGGCACCATGACCTCTGTGTTCCTTCCTCCATATTTGGAGAAGCAAGACCATCAGAAGCTGTGACTTTCCTTACAGGTAATTGTATCCAGAGGGGGGCGCTTTCTGGAAGCCCCAGTCTCAGGGAATCAACAACTGTCCAATGACGGGATGTTGGTGATCTTAGCAGCCGGAGACAGGGGCTTATATGAGGACTGCAGCAGCTGCTTCCAAGCAATGGGGAAGACTTCCTTCTTTTTAGGTAATACATCTGCCCACCTATCTGGGCATATTGGAATTGAAAGCATGGGGGCAGGGAAGCACAGTGTCTGTCCCACATGGCCTTCCTGCCAGGCTCTCTGAAAGAAGGCTTCTTTTGCCAGGCACAATTAGTATCTAGAAGGAAAAAGAACCTGTCCTGTCCAGGACAGATGAAAGACGTTTTCAGGGTGCATGGGTGAGGGTAGATAGCGATGACCTGCCTAAAGGATTCTTGAGACATCACCTTTGTCCTGCAGGTGAAGTTGGCAATGCAGCCAAGATGATGCTGATTGTGAACATGGTACAAGGGAGCTTCATGGCTACCATCGCTGAGGGGCTGACACTGGCCCAGGTGACAGGCCAGTCACAGCAAACGCTTTTGGACATCCTCAATCAGGGACAGTTGGCCAGCATCTTCCTGGACCAGAAGTGCCAAAGTAAGTCACCTTTGGCCTCTCTTCTTGCATTTTTGTTTTCACTGGAACTGAGCAGTTGGAGCAGATCATCCAAGAAAGTCCTTTCTTGGTTCATTGTGTAGAAAGAGCTCCTTTTCCAGTCAGTCCTTGACCCAGTCAGAAAAGGCCCAGCGAAACAGTGAATGGTTTTTGAGACCCCGGGTTGGGGTCCCCAGTCTTTAGGAGATGGACTTTGGAAATGCTAGAGGTGAGGCTGATACTCTAAAGCAGTTTTCATATAGGTCTTCAGACTTCTGATGAATGGCTTTCCCTCCTCAGATATTCTACAAGGAAACTTTAAACCTGACTTCTACCTGAAATACATTCAGAAGGATCTCCGCCTGGCTATTGCACTGGGCGATGCAGTCAACCACCCTACCCCCATGGCAGCTGCAGCCAATGAGGTAACTAGACATCAAGTGGTCCAGGCCCTAGATTCTTGTCTTTAGTTGTTTGTTATTTCTTCCCTGTTTGCTTAGCCCATTTTATTGAACAGATCCTTCTGCTGCTCAGCTTCCTGAGTGCTGGGGTTACAGGTGTGTACCCCCACACCTAATTCTTAAATTTTCTTTGTTTTTGTATTTTTAGTTTTTGGTTTTTTGAGACAGGGTTTCTCTGTGTATTCCTAGGTGTCTGGAACTCACTCTGTAGACTAAGCTGACCTTGTACTCAAGAGATCCTCCTGCCTCTGCTTCCCAAGTGCTGGGATCAAGGGTATGCACTAGCACCACCTGGCTACATCTTTATATTTTATTCTTAATACACTGAGCCAAGAAAGGAAAAGAACGTCCTGTCTCGGATTGCACTATTTTTCGTGAATTTTTCCTGTGTAATCTTGAAGGAGGAACCCTAGGCAACAGTTCTAGACTTACCTATGACATGAGCATGAGAGCTCATGTTTCTGAGCCACAGTAATTGTTATTATTTTCTTCATGATTTCTTTTTTGCTGTGTGGATTATTCTAGTTTGTCTAGGCAGGTATGGCATACATACCTGTAGCCTTAGCTACTCAGGAAACTGAAGCAGAAGGTTCAAGGCTAGCCTGTACAACTTAGTGAGAATCAGTCTCAGAAATAAAGGAAAGGCAGGCAGTGGTGGCCTTTAATCCAAGCACTCAGGAGGCAGAGGCAGGCAAAGCTCTGAGTTCAAGGCCAGCCTGGTCTACAGAGCAAGTTACAGCCAGGGCTGTTACACAGAGAAACCCTGTCTTCATAGGGGGCAGAACACAGGAAGGACTAAAAATAACATTTCTTGTTATGTACAAGATCCTGGGTTCAATCCCTAATGCCACCCCCCCCCCCAAAAAAAAAAAAGAAAGAAAGGAAAGAAAGAAAGAAAAATAGAGTGTGCGTTTGTTCCGTGGCTGGTTTGTCTTGTTCAGTTATTGATCAAAGTGGTTGACTGTTAACATATTTCAGCTGTACCTGTGGGATTCCTGTTACTCTCCTTTAATTCTGCCCTTCTCATAGGATTTCATTTTATAGCGCAGGCTGTCTTGAATCTCATTAGGTAGCCCAGATTCACAATCCTCCTGCCTCAGTATCCATAGTGCTAGGACTACAGGTGTATTTCAACATACCTAGCTGAATTATGTCATGTTTGCATGGCCTGTGGTTTTAGGACTTGCATTTTCAGCCATCTTCAGTATCAGTGCTGTGTCCATTCATATCATGTCCATCTCATATAATGTAGTGTGTTGTAGTATCACATGGTCACTTTTGAGAAATTTCTTTTGGAAAAGGAGTCCCTGTTGTCCTGGCTACTTCTTTATCCCTAGGCTCACATATTCTCTCCCATCAGTCTCCTAAGTAGTTGGAATTTGAGTTTCCACTTCATTTCTTTTTTAATCACTTTTTAAAAAGATTTGTTTTTTTTTTTTTTTTATTTATTAAAGATTTCTGCCTCCTCCCTGCAACCGCCTCCCATTTCCCTCCCCCTCCCCCGATCAAGTTCCCCTCCCTCATCAGCTCGAAGAGCAATCAGGGTTCCCTGACGTGTGGGAAGTTCAAGGACCACCCACCTCCACCCAGGCCTAGTAAGGTGAGCATCCAAACTGCCTAGGCTCCCCCAAAGCCAGTACGTGCAGTAGGATCAAAAACCCATTGCCATTGTTCTTGAGTTCTCAGTAGTCCTCATTGTCCACTATGTTCAGCGAGTCCGGTTTTATCCCAGGCTTTTTCAGACCCAGGCCAGCTGGCCTTAGTGAGTTCCCGATAGAACATCCCCATTGTCTCAGTGTGTGGGTGCACCCCTCGCGATCCTGAGTTCCTTGCTTGTGCTCTCTCTCCTTCTGCTCCTGATTTGGACCTTGAGATTTCTGTCCGGTGCTCCGATGTAGGTCTCTGAAGATTTGTTTTTAATTATGTGTGCACATGAGTCCTGGTATCCACAGAGACCAGAGATGTTAGATCCCCCTGGAAATACTGGAAGTTGTGAGCCACCTAAAACAGGGCTCTCTACAAGAGCAGCAAGTGCTCTTCACTGCTGAGCATCTCTGTCCCCCACTTAATTAATGGCAGGGAATTTCTTTTATATTTGCAGCTTCCTCATAAAACTCATCTTAGATGTGATTAGGAAGGGCTCTTTGTAGAGCTGGTTCTGGGAGAGCTTCATGGTGGGTCCAGTTTGTTTCTACTCCAGCTGCAGAATTTTGGTTCATTTCACACCCCAACATGGACTGTAAAACCCTTGGATCATGTGAGTTTAGGCTCTGTACTGTGCAAGACCCTGAGGGCAGGTTCCCCAGGCTAGCCCCTCCGTTAGCATGTGGCCCCTGTATTGAAAAGCACTTTTTCCTTCAGTGCCTTTCTTCATCTGTTTCTTCTTTCTTATCTTTTCTAAGGCTATCTGTGTGTGTGGTAGAATTTCATTTTCATTCATATCTTGGCTTTTTGTCAATACTTTGCTTTTCTGTAGTGGTTGTGGTCAGTATTCAGTGGATACCCTAAACTTGATGACTTCATAATTCATCCTGTGCCAGTTTGCATAAATCAGAAACCTTTTTCACTTTACCACATACTCGTCCCTAACCATAGGTTCTTGACTAGTTCCTCTAGATAGCTGTTCCCATCTTTCTGTTCTTTGTTAAAAATTAGGTTTCTCTGGCATTATTCCTTTTACCTGGAAGACTGCTAAGAGTTTCTTAACAAACCGGGTAGTGGTGCATACTTTTAATTCTAGTGCTCGCCCGCACCTTTAATCCCAGCACTGAGGAGACAGAGGCAGATGCATCCCTGTGAGTTCAAGGCCAGCCTGGTCTTAGTTCAAAGATAACCAAGGCTGTTACTCAGAGAAACCTTACCTGAAAAAATGGAGAGGAGATTCTTATCACATTCCTGCCAGTGATGGTGTTCTTGGTGTTTGATCTAGAAAGCTATTCAGGCTTTATTCTGCATTAACAGATGCACCAGGATGACCAGAGTGTGTATTCTTCTTTATGGTGGCTCTGCGAGACTATTCAGCTGCCCTGTGTGTGGCCACACATATCACCTCAGCAAAACTGGGTGCTCTGTTGCCTGTCACACTGTGGCTTTGATTCTTTTCAACCTTTTAAGTGATTAGAGTTTTGGGTGGCTGCTATTGCTGGACTCTACTCTAGGTTCTGGGAACATGCTGGTATACAGGCGGCTGTCCCCTTCTCTGCAGCTTCTGTATTTTAATGGAGGAAACAGAAAATGAGTTTGAAGCTTTTAAACAAGTAAAAATTTCAGGGTGTAAGAAATAGCGTTTGGGGGAAGTAGGCTGTATAGGAGAAAAGGCTCAGCAGTTAAGAGTGTGCACAAATACAGGTAAAGAAAGCACCCATGTACATAAAATCAATGACACTTTTAATCCCAGTACTTAGGAGGCATATCCAGTCCAATCTCAGTGAGTTTGAGGCCAACCTGGCCTACATAATGATTTCTAGGTCAGCCAGGGCTACATAGTGAGACCCTGTATTTAAAACATAATAATAAAAATTAATGAACAAGGCACGTGGAACTCTGTGAGTTCAAGGCCAGCCTGGTCTACATAGTGAGTTCTAGAACAGCGAGGAATACATAGTGAGAGGGGGGGGGGAATCTATGAGATCTGTCGGCTCTACAGGAAAGCACTATTGCAAACAACAATAAACAATAAAACTTAAACACTGGGGTTGGTGGCTCAGGAGTTAGAGCACTGGCTGCTTTTCCAGAGGACCTGGGTTCAATTCCCATCACCTACAGGACAGGTTACAACCATCTGTAACTCTAGCTGCAGAGGGTCCAACACCCTTTTTTCGCCTCCAAGAACACCAGGCACACAGATAGTACACAGACATACAGGCAAACATGTGAAATAATAAAATAAAATTTTTAGCCAGGTGGTAGTGGTACAGGCCTTTAATCCCAGCACTTGGGAGGCAGAGGCAGGCGGATCTCTGTGAGTTCAAGGCCAGCCTGGTCTACAGAGTGAGTCCAGGACAGCCAGAGCTATTACACAAAGAGACCATGTCTCAAAAACCAAAATAATAATATAAATATTTTGAACTGAATAAAACAAAATAACAGGTAGAAGGTAAATCAAAGGGTCCCGTAGCAATGGTGATGAGGAGCACAAAGGAGCTTTTGTAAAGTTGGTTAGGCAATGCCAACCATTTTTAAGGAAATATTTCATGCAGCAGGAACAGTAGGGCACAGCAACCCTGGGGATAATAAAACATTACTTTTTTCTCTATTGAGGACTGCCACTGTGACTCCTAGTGGCACTGAACACTTCACATCTCTGAGTATGTTTAGTCCTCTGAGTAAAGTCATGCGAATTGTGTCTGTTGGCTTCTGCACATCGAACTGTGGCAGAAGCCCCCAGAGGCTGGAACATTTGCCCTATATCAAGCCAGGATTGGTACCCAGATATCCCAAGCTTCAGGTCCTGCCTGCTAAGCAGCAGACAAGAGTCATATCAGGGCTGGGTCTCCACACAATAGCTCTGTAGCTAGAGACTGACATCTACTTCTTTTTCCAGGTATACAAAAGAGCCAAGGCACTGGACCAGTCTGACAATGATATGTCTGCAGTGTACCGAGCCTACATACACTAAGCCTTGCCCATCCATCCACCCCTCCCATCTTCCCTCTGGCCTCTCTCCCCAATATGGGGTCAGGGTTCTGGGACTTAGCTCTGGACCAGTTACCTGTCTCCATTTCCTTTTATACAGACTTTGAGACTTGCATCAGCACAGTAAACAGCAGCACTCTCCCTCCCTGAGGCCCTGGGCAGGGATTGGAGGATCTCCACAGGTGACTGTGAAGAACTCTTGAGCTGGGCATTGGCCCTGGAGCAGGAGGCTGTGTATTCTCACTGTTTCTCTTGTGTTCTCTGTCTCTGTCACACACACACACACACACACACTCTCTCTCTCTCTCTCTCTCTCTCTCTCTCTCTCTCTCTCTCGCTCTCTCTCGCTCTCTCTCTTACCCACCCCAGGTTAGAAACTGCCCAGAAACTGCTGCCTGGCTGTTCTTCCTCCAAGCTTGTCTTATCTCAGCACCCTTCTGGTCAAGGGACTAGAGGAACTAGAATTGGCAGGGAGCACAGGAAGCCTTCTCTCAACTTCCCCAGGAAAGAGGCTGGCAGAGGGTCCATGCCCCCAACTGGGCCCCTGAAAGGAGAGGCCCCTGAGCCATCATGAACCAGCAGACTCCCAAAGGAGGCTCTGTGGGCCTCCTCCTGAGGATTTTCCTGTAGACACTACCATTATGCAACACCTCCCCAGAACGCCTTGTGAACTGAAGAGATGAGCTTGGCCACACAGACAACTGGCTCTATGACTACACACTGGCTCTATGGCTGGAGCCTGCTCCTCCCAGGAGGTTTTGTTTGGATTTGCATTCCAACCCATGGGATGGGGTCTTGAGGGCACTGGGAGCGGTGGAGTGGGGGGTGGCTCCTTCCTCTTTCCGTTAATGGCAGTCTCTTCAGCTGGGCCACCTGTTCAACCTGCTCTACACAGGTCCTCTGCATGCCCCTCTTTCCCTCTTCCTCCCAGGGAGATAGTATTTCTATCACATCCTCTTTTGGCCCAGACCCAGCCTGACCAACACCAATAATAAACATTTCATAGATGAGCATTTCATAGGCTGGACTTTTGAAGTGAAAACCTCACTTCTGCCAGTTATCAATGGTTCCAAGTCCTGGGTTTGCTAGGACAGAAGAGAACTGGGCCTTGTTCTGCAACCTAACTGCTCCTCAGAGATAGAGCCAGTCCTCTGTAGGCCCCAGCATTTCTCCTTGAAGAGGGGACCAGAGAGAAAGGCTTAGATTGTCACATGAGAGGAATCACCTGAGGGGTGTGCCTTCTTCCTCATGAGTTAGGATTTCCAAAGCCACAATTTGACTTTTCCACTGGGAAGAACCTGGGATAAGGATCTCAGGACATAGGCATGGAGCAACAAATGCTTTTGGGGTTCAGTACAATTGCTCATTCACTGGGATGCTGAGCCTGTTTCTGTCTGAACATATCCTGTCTTGATCCTAGGGGTTAGGGGAGGGGAAGATGCTGTAAGGAAACCGGTTAGTCAATGTCTTAATATTGTTGACAATTCTGTAAAGTTCCTTTTTATGACTATTTCTGTTTAAGCTATTTCACCTTTTGTTTTGAAATCCTTCCCTTTTAAGGAGAAAATGTGACATTGTGAAAATGCTTGTAAGAAAGCCCCTCCTCCCCTTTTTCCTTTTAATGACAAATCTAGGTGATTAAGGTTGTGAATTTTTATTTTCGCTTTGTTTTTAATGAGCATTTGTCTTTCAGAATAGGATTGTGTGATAATGTTTAAATGGCAAAAACAAAACATGATTTTGTGCAATTAACAAAGCTACTGCAAGAAAAAAGAAAAATAAAACATTTCTTGGTACCACAGCTGTGCCACTTGTTCCAGACCGCTTTGGGGACTTTGCGTGGGAGTCAGAGGGCAAACGTCAGCCCACCTGAGTCCTCCTGTGTCCCTGCTGGGCGGGCGCCACCTGGCGGAACAATACAGAAAGCGCAGTGAGGGATGACTCCGCTGGCCAATCAGTAAGCAGTAGAGATAGGTTGGTTGGCGTAGCATCCCGCCCTTGTTGAAGAACGGGGATTAAGAAGGACGGATGGGCGGTGATGGGATCCGGAGCGGTGGCTGATCCTGTGCAGCGTCACTAGGTTGGGGGTGGAGCTTGCGCTTCATCTGCCAATCAGTAACGGGGTGAGGAGAAGGGCCGGGCACGGTGCACCAAGTTCCAGACTACAGACCTCAGAGACAGCGAGCGGCCGCGACGATGGCGACCGCAATGGCTGCGAGCGCTGCGGAGCGGGCTGTGCTGGTGAGGCGCGGGCGGTGGGTGGCGGGCGGCAGGGACGGACGGGTTTGACGCCGCACTGTCCGCAGGAGGAGGAGTTCCGCTGGTTGCTGAACGCTGAGGTGCACGCGGTGCTAAAACAGCTGCAGGACATCCTCAAGGTAAGTGCCGGTCACAGCCGACCTGCCAACATCCCTCTTTCCACCGGTCCCGCAGCGGAGGCGGCTGAGCGTCGTGGCGTTCAGGTACCAACGCTCTCAGAAGAGTTACAGTCCAGACGCAGGCAAGGTGACATGTGTGAGTATGTGTGTGCTGCGAGGTATTAGACCCCAGGGTTAACACGAGGTCTTGACTGAGGACTAACTTTGAAACAGTGACATTTCATCTATGAACCTGGTGGTGGTGAATTTGTAATCCCAGCGATCTGAAGGGTGAAGCTAGAGGATCACGAGTTAGAAACTAGCCGTGGGCTACATAGTGAAACACTGTCTCAAAACAAAAACTGATAACCCAAACTCTGAAGTATCCCCCTCCCTGCGGTGTGATCTTAGCCAATTTACATCCTTGAGCCTCTTCCCTGACCCTAACCAGCTGGGCTCACAGAGCTATTGTGGAGATGAATAAACCATCTCACAAAATGCCTAGCACCGTGACCTAGGAAAGCATATTACTATGGCTACTGAATGGTTCCCTGCCTCTGCTCCCAACACCCGATCACAGTGCTCCAGTTAGCTGGGTACTGTGCCTCTCTGTTCTGTGTTCCTACCTGGCAGCTCCCGATATTCAGTCCATGGAACGAACAGGTCTGAGTTCACAGAGGCTTGAAGGCTTGGTAGGGCAAAGGCAGAGGAGCTAAGTCAGGCCTGCCCACCTTGTCCTTTCGCTGGCTAATTTGGCAACATATCTGGGCCTCGGAACGGAGCACTGACCAGACTGGGGTGTTGGAACTGCCCTGTCTTCCACAGGAGGCCTCTCTCCGCTTCGCTCTCCCAAGCCCCAGCACAGAGGGACCTACCAAGCAGGAGAACTTTATCCTGGGCAGCTGTGGGTAAGCTGGGTTGGGCAGGAACTTTGGGAAGGGCATTTTTGGAGTACCTGGGGGAGGAAATGTTTGTGGCACTATGAAGCAGCCTGCAGAGGAGGGGACAGTAGCAGGTACCCCTCTGACTCCTGTGTGTTATAGCACAGACCAGGTGAAGGGTGTGCTGACTCTGCAAGGAGATGCCCTCAGCCAGGCGGTGAGTCCCCCGGGCCCTGTTCCCTAACAGTGCTGCTGGTGATGAGGACGGTGATGGCCTCTTAGCTCTGCCACCAGCTAGCTGCATGCCTCTGGGTAGGACCCTTGTGCTCTCTGGACCTGTTTCCTTGTATGTATAGACATACATACTTGACAGGCAACCCTAACACTACCTCATGAGACAGGCATAGATTCAACAAGGGACAAGAAGCGGGCGGCTTAACCAGGTGGTGGGGGCGCACACCTTTAATCCCAGCACTCGAGAGGCAGAGGCAGGTGGATCTCTGTGAGTTTGAGGCCAACTTGTTCTACAAAAGCTAGTTCCAGGACCGCCGGGGCTGTAACTCAGAAAAACCCTGTTTTGAGAGGGTGGGGAGGAGTGGGTGGCCTGACATCTGGACCCTATGAAATGTGAGTGTTGGCACCCTAGGCAGCCTGGCCCTGGATCAAAATTAAGTCATCATCTGAGCTTTGGACTGTGCAAGGCCTCAAGGCACAGGGGACAATCCCTGTCTACATTGATCTTACGGCACTCCCTCCTCTTAAGACCTTCCCCTTTCTCAGCTGCTTTTCCCTTTCACTGCTTTGTGGGACCTGAGTTCCTGTTTCTACACATCGTGTTCACTTAACCCCCAAGTGCATGGGCCCTCAGCCACCCATCTACTGCATTCCTGGCTCCAGGGATTCAGGAAGGACAGGGGTACCACTGCCTGCTTATCACACTCTGGCCCATAGGATGTGAACTTGAAGATGCCTCGGAACAACCAGCTGTTACACTTTGCCTTCCGGGAGGACAAGCAATGGAAGCTACAGCAGGTGAGGTCCATTGCCCAATGGCAGGCCCAAACAAGGGCCTCCCTGGGATTGATTGCCTTTCATGGGGAAGTCTGGCTGTAGGGACTTTGTGACTACAGCAAACATAGGAGACTGTTTGCTAGCAAAACTGCAGTGGTGGTGCCTTGGGGCCCTAGTGTCTGCTCCACATGACGGATGTGAAACTGGCCCTACCTTTGTAACTTTGACCACGTGAGGACAACTAAAGGTCCCTTTGAATGCCACTTACTCTAGAGGGGCTTCCCAGATACCTGGGATCATACACAGGTCTCCTGCCTACTATACACACACCCTCATCTGAAGCTGGTCCCTACCACAGGGCTTTTGCCTGTGTGTGCTGCTCTGTCTGGATTCTTACCCTTTCCTGCTTCTGTGGGTTTGGGGTTTTTTGTTTGGTTTTTCGTATTGGGAGGCGGGGCTCAAGACAGTTTCTTTGTACGTTGCCAGCTGTCCTGAACTTACTACGCCACCCAGGCTGGCCTTGAACGCAGAGATTAACGAGCCTCTGCGTTCTGAATGCTGGGATTAAAGGTGGTGCCTTCGCCACCCAGTCCTGTGAGGTCTCTCCTGTCCTTGTTTATTTCCTCCTTGAGCCCTGCAGGATTATTTGTAGGTATACTAGGAGTTATATGTGTCTGTGACAACTAGGCATTTGTGACACAGGGCCAAGAGCCAGTGTGCCTTGGCGGTCAGGATTATCCAGGGCCTGGTCATCCAGCTTTAAAGACTACAGCTGTGAAGGGTATTGTGACCATAGGCGATGCTACTTTCTCCTGAGAGATTAGCCCATCAAGTGGGGTCCTGTGTTATGGGATCAGGCTGAGAACTCAGAAATGTGGCTTTCCTGAAACTAATAGACGTTGGTCATGTGGGTGGTGGGGCTGTTCCCAGATCCAGGATGCCAGAAACCACGTGAGCCAAGCCATTTACCTCCTGGCAAACCGGGACGAGAGCTACCAGTTCAAGACAGGAGCCGAGGTCCTCAAGGTGACTCTTGTTGTCCCACCCCCTTACTCCAAACAACACCAGCACCCTGGCCCCAGGCTTCACTAGATAGAAGCTGCCCTTTTCCCAGTCATTGCTCACAGGTCTGGCCTCAGTTGCTGGCTGATGACCTGGAGTGCAGTATCAGGCCTGGTTCCGGTCACCAGACCTCGACGTGACATGTGCAACCTTAAGTTCTTTGCTACTGGGAGCCCCCATTTGCTCACCTGGTGAATGCTGTTTCCCCGTATCTACCTGTCAGTATTGCAGTGGTAGTGGCGGTAAAATCCTGTTACAGAACAAGGCCACATTACGGTATGTGAGGACAGCTGTCAGATGCCCAGGACTCTAGCTTTTTCTCTGAGACCCCCACCCCAGGTAATGGCAATCACCCCTACTGGGATTACAGGCCTGGGAACCATAGTCACCTGGCAGGAGTAAAAGTTACAGATGTTGCTCACTGATGCGAGGGGGTGGGACACAAGGGAGCCCAGCGGCTACCACTTAGGTAGCAGTGATGACCTGCCCTTTCCCAGCTCATGGACGCTGTGATGCTGCAGCTGACCCGAGCCAGAAACCGGCTCACCACCCCAGCCACCCTCACCCTGCCTGAGATTGCTGCCAGCGGCCTCACGGTTAGTACCTCAGATAACCTCTGCCCAAGAGACGTCCCTCCTGAGAAGCACAGCCAGTGGAAGTTTGATGCCTGGACAGTTTTCTGGGTTCAGTTCTTGGCCCCCCAATTATGTTAACCCAGTTTTCAGCCAGTGGCTTCCAACCTAGCAGCCCATAGAGATTATGGAGACAGGTGGGGAGCCTCTAGTGCCCCAGCCTATGGAGAAGCACCTGGGGATAGGGCTGGGGCCCCCCATAAGGTAATTCTTACCCTGTAGTGGTACAGCCTAAAGTGGGAGAGGGCCTTATTCCTCCTCCCCCCTCCAACTTCCTCTCTCCCCCAGCGAATGTTTGCGCCTACCCTACCCTCTGACCTGCTGGTCAATGTCTACATCAACCTCAACAAGTTATGTCTCACCGTGTACCAGCTGCACGCCCTGCAGCCCACCTCCACTAAGGTAAAGTTCTCTCCCAATGCCCCACACCAGCCCTGCTGAGAGCTCTCCACCCCACCCTCACGGACTGCTGCTTCTGCCTAGAACTTCCGCCCCTCTGGAGGTGCAGTGCTCCACAGCCCTGGGGCCATGTTGTAAGTACACAGTAAGATGTCCTAGAGCCCTTTCCCTCCTCCCCTCTGCATCTGAGGTCCAGGCCTACCCTCAGGGGTCCACTTGTCATTTTTCCCCAGTGAGTGGGGCTCCCAGCGCCTAGAGGTGAGCCATGTACACAAGGTAGAATGCGTGATCCCCTGGCTCAATGACGCCCTGGTGTACTTCACTGTCTCCCTGCAGCTCTGCCAGCAGCTCAAGGATAAGGTGTGTCGGGGCATCTGGGGCAGAGAAGGCCATTCAGGAGCCACGTCATACTTCAGTGCCCCCAAGTTGTAAAGCCCATTGGCAACAGTTCCCAGACAT